CAACACACCAGGGCCCCCAGCGGGGACACAGGAAGTCTTCCAATAGTCAGCCAGCCCCTATACGTCCACAGCTGTGGCTGGGTCCAGGCTTGCAGGGGGCGGAAGCCAGATCCGGGAGCAGCGAGACAGATCACTGGATGATGGACAGGGCAGCCGGCCAGCTGCAGACACAGTGGAACTCCCACAGGAGCAGGAAGGAAGCCGGGGTGTAAATGGGAGCGCACACTTCCACTTCCGGTTACAAGGGAATGCACCAGAGTGGAAACAGAAGGCCTTGACTTGCGCCCCCTTGTGGTCAGGTATGGTCATGACTGTCCTTGTTTCCTCGACACCAGTGGTTCTCCACCGTCCCATGCCGCAACCCTTGCATACCGTGCCCCGTGTGATGGTGACCCCCAACCATAAAATTATTTTGGTTGCTACTTCATCACTGTCATTTTGCTACTGGGATGAATCGTCATGTCAGTATCTGATAGGCAGGATGTACTTTCATTGTTACAAATTCAACCTAGTGTTGATTCACAAAAATAATAGGTAAGTATAGATTGTGAAGTACGTATTTCTAATGACCGATGAGTGAAATGTTGTCTTGAAGCAGGGGGTAGCATGGTACTCGTAGGTGGGTGTATCTGAATGGGGGCGGACCCACCTAGAGGCGGATAGAGGCGCTGTGTCTCGGTTCCTAAGACCGTCGGAAATAGGTGTTTCCACCTGTCCTCCCAACAGCACATCCAGTACTCTGAGGAACATCATGCAGTGCGTGGCATTATAAGGGTCATGAGCGAGGGTGGAGAGAGGTCAGGATGGGGTATTCTGGGGATGTGTGGGGCTCCCTGCATGCCCAGGTCTGGAAGAGGGTCTCCCTGAGTCTAATGCAGTTGGGAATAAAATAGATGTGGACCTCTTGGAAATCCTGCCTTAGTTCTCACCCATTTGGGACAAGATCTCATGACATTTTTTTATTTGAAGGAAATCCCAACCTTATAAACCGCTATGTCCCAAATGGCATCTCCTAACTGGACAGCGCACAGACACCTCATGGGATTTCCCAGCTGGGCTGTGATCACAGTGGACGATATAGAGAGAGACCTGTATTTCCATAGTGATGCAGGAGACAGGGGAGGTAAGTTCTTTTTTTTTAAGTCATTTTATTAGGGGCTCATACAACTCTTATCACAATCCATACACACATCAATTCTGTAAAGCACATTTGTACATTCATTGCCCTCATCATTCTCAAAACATTTCCTCTCCACTTAAGCCCCCGGCATTGGCATTTTTCAGGGAGGTAAGTTCTTAAATGGCTACCAACCTCTGCGTTGCCACCCACACACTGAACTGTTGCTTCATTGAGGCTCCCTGAAGACATCCAGAGAATCCAAAGGAGAAACAAGGTCAGTGGATGATAAAAACAGGGATTTGTGAAGCTGCTCTGGAGACGGGGCACACTGAGAAAGGTTAACAAGCGAGGGGAG